GCCTCCAGAGCCCAGGGAGCCCACTGTGACCTGGTGGGCTTCCCTCCTCTGTTGCGTGGGCCAGCACATCCTTACCCACACAGCCGATGGTCACCACCCCATCCTTGTAGCGCTCCTGGGTCGGGCGGGCCGGCTCCATCGCTGAGTCTGTCTGCTGCTCCACCAGGACCGCGGGCCCGTCCTCCTCGTCCTCCTCACCGGAGGCACTGCCCCAGGTGGCCCCAGCCACATCCCGGGCAATCTTCTCCCGCCAGCTGCTCAAGTCCACTGCTCGGGGAAGGAGAAGACAAAGAGCGCTCTCCCCAGGGCACCGCACACGATGGCACGACTGGGACGGCACAGCCCGTGTAACTGAAGCCCTCTGGAGTTGGGCAGTGACGAGGTGCATAACCGACGACTCCCCAGTGTTCACTGACCCCACCCAGGAATCACGTGCATTTCTCTATCAGAGTTTCCTGGAAAGTCCTAGGAAACCTAAAGGCAGCTATACTAGGGCTCCTGCCTACCTGCTGCCTTTAAGGTCACAACAAGTCAGGCTTCCATCCCTCCCCCGGGCCTCTCGCCTATGTCCATGATAGAGGGCTTGACTTCAAGAAAGGTGAGCAAAATGACTCTGTGCCTTAGGTCTCCCCATGGCTGCCACATCTCCCTCCAAGGGGCACAAACCTTTCCCTGCAGTGATGGCTTCACAGGCTCTCAGCAGCTGCTCCGGCCCCAGGGCCCGAGCCCATCCTCTCCCCCGCCTTCGACTTTTCTTCAAGACTGAGATCCAATGGCACAAGAGAGTTATTAGCAAGCCTCATCTCTTCCACCACCCTCAGGTCCAAAATCAGGTACGCCCTTGTCAACAAGCCCCTCTGTTCTCCCCTTCATCCCCTGCCACCCCACCTTTCCATGTTGCCCTCCTCATTGCCCACTCACCACCACCACAGTCCTGTGGGATGCGGGGGTCCCGAGGGAAAGAGGTGAAAAGGACTATGTGGAGCTGGGGAAAGTGCTGGTGGAAATAATGCTTCCAGGCAACCACGAGAGCTGGCGGGGCCAGATCCACCTTGTTCAGGACCAGCACCAGGGCCAGCCCAAGTTCTCCAGTCACGTATTCGTAGAGTGCTGGTGGGAAATTCACAACCTGGGACAGGATTAGTAAGGGAATGAGCAATGAGAGGTCAACTCAGAGTTCTCTGCCTCTAGCTCTCCACTCAGCAGGCACAGCTTGGAGGCAAGACCCTGGTGGTAGCAGACTCTGGGGCAAAATGAGTAAGTCAGCCAAAGTGAACTATAAAGACATAACAGAGATAAGTAATATGTGTGCATTTGTGTAGGAGTGCATGAACAGGTCGTTACGGACCTCCACCGGAAGTGTCCCTCACAGACCTCCCTTTCTCCCACTGGAGGACACCAGTGAGGTGGCAGAGCAGGTTCATGCAAGGCCATCAGCCACCACCCCAGCATTCCAGGTGAGTCCTGTGCTCAACGATGTGACAGAACAGGGGGCAACCCCAGATGCCTTCCTGACATCCCCAGGAGCTCCACTCTGGGACTTTCTATTGGTTTAGCTCTGTTGGGCTGGGAAACAGGATATGCAACTTTTCATCAAAGGAATAACAGAGGAGAGTCAGGTGGCCGGGGAGGAGTGACAGACTGTGATCCTGATAAAGAACTGAGCCCCTGCCTGGCCGGGAGTGGCTCAGCGGTTGAGCATCGACTTGGGATCCAGGCAATCGGGGTTCGGTTCCCGGTCAGGGCACATGCCCGGGTTGCGGGCTAGCCAATCAATGACTCTGTCATCATTGATGTTTCTATCTCTCTCCCTCTCCTTTCCTCTCTCTGAAATAAATAAAGATATATTTAAAAAAAAACACACACAGAACTGAGCCCCTGACTGCAGACATCAGCACGGAGTAGAAGAGACTGAAAGGGAAGAAGGATACCTGTCTCCCAGCTCCTGCCTCTGCCCTTGACCCTCCTCCCACTTGCCCAGCCTCATCCCAGGACTCACTGGATGCCGGACATCAGTGATGAGCAGGATGATGTCAGACATCTCTAACACTCGCCACAGCTGCCTCCACGTCTGAAAAGACAAAGTCAATAGAACAGAATCTGAGCCTAGAGTTCCTTTCCTGCCTCACCCCAGACCAATTTGACCCTAGATCACTACGTCCCACTTCTGTCCTGACTTCATTCTCACCTCCAGATTGTGTTCAAAGTAGCTGAGCTTCTCTGAGGTGTAAGCCCCATGAATCTTCCCAAGATACTCCTGGAAGCTCCGTTCCTCCTGGCTCATTAGTTGCTCCTTGGACATCTCATAGCTCCAAGGGGGGCGCCGTGGAAAGTCCAGCACTGCAAAATCAAGAAAAATTCAAGTCTGAGGATAGTTTCAGGACTCCAGAGTGCATCCCAGACCCCTCCTTCCTCACAGTCCACTTTCACTCTCCCACACTCCTTCCCCCAACCCAGTGCCTGTCCCAAACAGCCTATTGAGTCCTCACTCACCTGAACCAGGCTGATATACCTCTTGGATGTCCAGCTCCAGCATCTCAGTATTGACCGGCTGTAGCACTTGCTCCCGGGCTGCTCTCTTTCTCTTCTCCACCTCCTCCCTGCTGTCCCGTTCAAAATGCAGTCGGTATCTATGGGGACAGGGACCATGGCATCCATTGCAATCCTGTGGCCACAAACTCTCCTCTTGTGCAGACAACTTTGCTAAGCGCTCTCTCCAAGGTCGTTTTCCTCCTCTCTGACTGGGCCCTCCCCCATATCGCTCTTTGACGCAATATTCTCCCCCTTCTAAAGGCCAAAGTCTCTCCACTCCTTGGGAAGGGAAGATTGTGGCCCCCATGAGCACAGAGGCCGGGAAAAGGGAGAACCGTGGCATCCCAGCCCCACTGCCTCCTTTCAAGCCTCCATCAGCGACAGCGGGCCTCCCCCCAATGTTCTGACTTCCTGGTAGGCGGGGAAGGCCCACTCTCACCGATTTGGGTCAAAGCCTCGCGGGCCCAGGCCCTGGGGAGGCTGTTGGTTGAGCCTACGGATTTGATGGGTCACAGACTCCCCGTCCGAGGTGTCGGTCTGCTCCTCCCGCCGCTCCCGGCTCCCGCTGCGGCTGTTGGAACTGGATCGCAGCCCATCTTGAAGCCCTGCGGGAAGGACCCGGTGACGCCAGTGCTGGCCGGCTCTCAGGGGCCAAACAATCCCCTCCGCGGTCGGCCTGGTTCCCCCTCACCTCCCCCCCACTTCTTTTGAGGCCCGACGCTCCCATCCACCCTGCTCAGGACCCTCCTGGATGTGCGCGGGGGTAGTCACTCCTCCTCCAGGGATCTGGGGGGATGGCGCCTGCTCCAGCAGGAGGGATTCCCTTCCCCCAACTCTATCCCTCCCCACCCTTCTCATATAGGGGTGCTGGGGTCAGAGAATCCCCTTTGCGGTCACCCGCGCGCACAGGCGCGCGCGGCCCCCCCCAGAGCTGCGGCTGGCACACCCCTCCTTC